ACATGGTGGCAGGGTGCTGGATAGTCAGTATTTCCTACGCCATTATGGTACATATTTTCATTTTGCAATTAACTTACTGTGGCCCCAAAGAAATTGACCATTTCTTTTGTGATTTTGCACCAGTTAAAGATCCGTTCTGTGGCGAGACACAAACTCTGCAATGGCTGACATTTTTTTTTGCTGTAATATTCACTATTGGGATCTTTCTGTTTACCCTGGCAACCTACATTTGTATCGTCGCCAACATCCTGAGAATCCCTTCCAGCACAGGGAAGAAAAAGGCCTTTTCCACCTGCTCCTCCCACCTCATTGTGGGGATGGTTTACTATGTGAGCATAATGACAGTCTATGTGGTTCCACTGCTCAACCCTCCCGCAATCTTCCCGAAGATAATGTCTGTCTGGTTTGCAGTCCTGATCCCCTTGCTCAACCCTCTTATCTACTTCTTGAGAAACAAGGAGGTCCATCAGTCCCTGAGAAAAGCAATGTGGAAATTGGTGGCTTACAGATACAGGCATGGAGTGTGAAATGGAACAGTTTAGGATATAGTAAAATGCAGATGAACTGATGTATTTCCTTAAACATGGCCCATTTGACTCCTTGAGAATGAAGTTATTCTTTCTTTCTTTCTTTCTTTCTTTCTTTCTTTCTTTCTTTCTTTCTTTCTTTCTTTCTTTCTTTCTTTCTTTCTTTCTTTCTTTCTAATAAAATGTTGTGGAGGGTTCGGAGTCTAAATGTCCTTCCAAGTGAATTTTCTGACTCTGCATACCCTTTGGAGATGCAAGGCAATGCTGAAATATTAAATCATTATTGATTCTGAGATCAATATAGATATTGCCACCGTTTTTTACATGCAAAAAGAAGACATATGTCCCCATGCAGTTCCAGTGCTCAACCCTCCTGCAATCCTGCACAAAATAGTGTATGTATTGTACACGTTCCTGATGGCCTTGTTCACCCCTGCCCTATACTGCTGAGAAACAAGGAGGTCCATCAGTCCCTGAGAAAAGCTATTCTGAAATTGGTTGCTTTCAGACACAGGCATGGAGTGTGAAAGGTCACAGTTTAGCAGATAGTTAAATACAGGTGAACTGATATTTTTACACGTGGCCATTTTGACTCATTGAATACACATGCCCTATTTGACCTTACTTCATCTTTCTTGAGTAGGCCCCCAGAGCAGGTCCCAGTCCCAGCTCCCCCCCACCACGTGGCCATCAGGCCCCCACCAACACAGAGCCACGGCAGTCCCCCACCCCCTGCCACATGGTAGGGCCTAGCCTCCCCACCCCATGAGAGCAGGCCTTGGCTGCCCCCCACCGGTGCTTTCCACGTGGCCCTGCCAGCCAGGCAGCATAGCGGCTGCTGGAGCTGAAACCAGGGCCATGGTGAGGTTGCCCCAGTGACCTCAGCCCCAGCCACCGCACACCCAACTGCCCACTGCCCCACTCGCCCTCCTACTGCATGGTGAAGTGGGTGGAAAGGAATTCCGATATGGGGAACGCCAGTGGGAAGGGCTAATCAAAAGTGGGTGGGTGCCCAGGCAGTTTTCTCAGCCCGGCAGGCAGGGGTCTGTGGCCCACCACCTGTCCGTGGACCAGTGGTAGAAAACTGCTGCCCTAAATGTGGGCAGCCAAAATGATGAGGGGGCTGGAGCATATGACCTATGAGGAGGGGCTGAGGGATTCCGGCTTATTTAGTCTGGGTTTTGAGAGCAGCCTGCAACTCCCTGAAGAGGGTTCCAAAGAGGCTGGAGAGAGGCTGTTCTCAGTGGAGGCAGATGGCAGAACAAGGAGCAATGGGCTCAAGTTGCAGTGGGGAAGGTCTAGGTGGGATATTAGGAAAAACTATTTCACTAGGAGGGTGGGGAAGCCCTGGGATGGGTTCCCTAGGGAGGGGGTGGAATCTCCATCCCTAGAGGTATTTAGGTCCCTGCTTGACAAAGCCCTGGCTGGGATGATTGAGTTGGGGCTGGTCCTGCTTTGGGCAGGGGGCTGGACTCGATGACTCCTGAGGTCTCTGCCTGCCCTGGGGTTCTAGAATTCTATGATAAATAAATGACAAAGACTTTGGGTAAATTTCACCGGGACAGCTAGGAGTATTTCTATCCCAATGGTCAGCATGGTCAACCTGAATTACCTTGGATGTGAGTTATAAGCAGGCTGGGCACACGACCGCAGTGATGGGCAACCTCGGCTAGTGAGTGGGCCACCTTGGTGGACCTATGTCCTCTAGTGAGGCTGCAAGGTTGTCATGACCAAGATGGGCTATGGGGATAGGGTATTTTTCCAGTTGCTTGCGTACCTAGGGTCTGAGGCTGTGCTGATTGAACCGTAGCAGTGCTTGGATTGGATGCAGAGGGAGCCGAGGTTGTGGCCAATCGACACACGTCTCCCTTCACAGGCCCTGGCTTTACATGTGTGTCACTTGAGCAATGCAGACAGGAAAAACATGCACATGAAAACCAAGCTCATCAGGCAAACCTGTAGCTGGACAAAGGTAAAGAAAATGTCTCTCAGGCCATGCATAGGAGCCCAGTGGGTCACAGGGTGCCCCCAATGATTTGGAACAACTGCAGTTTAGAGCTCTGTGGGTCCCAGTTTCAGGCACCAGTGTATTGGCTAGGACGGGGGCCATTTCAAGTGCATCATTTGAGTCCCACGTAACTGGAAAGGTCAGGAGAAGAGAGAAGAGAAAGCTTAAATCGGGCAAGCGGACTAATGGAATTAGGTGTCCAAATCCCCTAAGCATCTTTCTGCATTGCAACCTGTAGTGGGGAAGCTGCCCCCTCTGGCCAGAAGGGTCAGTGCAGGCTGGAGGAAGCCTGCACAGAGCCCTGGTCTATCAAAGAGACACTTGTAACGAGCAAAGCAGCAAAGCAGAGGCAGTTGGGTCCTGCCCAGCGAGGGTGCAGAACTGGCTCCCAGCGGAGGAGAAGCACCTGGGCTGAGCAACACTGGGTGGGAGAGCTAAAGAGGGGGGCTCTGGGCTGGTACCTCCCAGGTAAATAAGGGCCTGGAAGGTGCAAGGGGCCACAGGGAAGGGGCCCATGGAAAAGAGGGGAGAGAAGGAGGCAGGACAAGGCTGCCACTCAAGGGTCCCTGGGTCCTGACATAGATCAGTGGGTGGCCTTGGGTCCCCCTTTCCCTAGCACTGCACCTAGCCCACTGAGGCGTGGCCTTTGCAGACTGTGGCTTCCCCTGAGGGGACGGCTCAACGGGGCTGCAGTTGGCCTTGGCGGCAGCTGAGGCGAAGGGCTGCTGACACCCCGAAGGGGAGACGAGATTGGAGCAGTGGGGGAGAGGACGCCGTGATCCTGAGAGTGACAGAGGTTCAAAGCGTGGGGAGAGAGCAGAGCGACAACGGCTGAGACACCGGCCACTAAGGGAGCCCACTGGGACTGATCTAATAGAAAATCAGTTGAGTTCCACCTAAACTCTAATGTGAGAATTTAAGAGGGGGGTGGTTGGGGTTGGGTTTGGAAAGGCCTTGTGCTGCTCCAGGCCCACAGAGCCTCTCTCTTGTCTATTTAGTCTGCATTTTTAATGTTGCCTCCGTCTCCTTTGGGAATCCCAGCCATGGGCGGCAATGTCTGTGCAGTGGAGGGATGTTTCTCACTGTTTGCTCTTTTCCAAAACCCAGCACAACAGGCCCTTCATTCCAGCTGGACCTTCTAGACCCTAAAACTGTCATTGGCCTCTGTCCTAGGCCAGACTGCTGGGAACTCTGGAATCTGGGGCACTGAAACGGATGTATGGTCCTTAGTCAGTGTTGCTCTCCAGACTTTTTGCCTAACCACAGCAAGAGAAAACCACGTTTTTTGCTTCTCCCTAATGGAAATGGTGATGAAGGCTGCATCTACATTGGTGTTTCTTAAACTTTTTAAGACTGAGGATCACCAAACAATATTTTTTTTCAATGGGGAACATCAAGGATTTTTTTGTTGAGAAAAAAAAAAGGTCGGGGGGTGGAGGAAAGGATTGGAGGGGGAAGTTATTGAGGTAAAATAGGGTCGGGGAAAGTTATTGAGGGGGAGGGGCAAAAAGGTTGCCTGCCTGTTTCAGAGCAGCCATTTTTAATTCTGTTTTTCTCCTCAACACACCTCTGACTGCCTCATGGCATACTGGTGTGCCGCGGAACACAGTTTAAGAAACATTGGTCCACGTCATGTGAGGTCAAGGGATGATTTACAGATCCAGACCCTCACTGGTTAATTCGTATGGTTTCTCAGCTAACAAATAGTGTGAAAATTCACCTTCAGACACTTGGGAGAACCTCTAGAATATATTGCATGAGCATTTTAACACCATTTTTTCAATGAAATTGGTGGGTATTGCATATTCATGTCAGTTAGGAAGCTCTTTTATGCCTGATTGACATCTATACGGAGTATATGGAGAATTGAAGCAAGAGACCTTCTCATCTAACCCATCAGAAGAATAGGGACTTCCACTGAAATCAGAAGTTCTCCCTGCACTAATTTCCTTTGAACGAGACATTCCCTTTCCTTTTTGTTTTATCTTTTGGGTCAACAGTTCTCTGGTCTCCATTATTTCCCTTTGGAATCTATTATTTTCCAGGACTTCCCATTTGGGATTGGTAACAATTCATTACCAATGATGGTTACAAGTGGTACCATTGTTTTTTGTTTCTATAAAAATAAATATTCACTTTCCTCTCTGCAATCATTTCAAATTCCCACCAGTAGAAATAAGAAGGGTGATTACATTATTTCATAGGAAGGAGGATTTACCAGCCAGGGGAGAGAGTGATATTTTTTGAAGGGATTAACAACAACATTTGCAAGTTCTGTGGCATCCGGACATGAACCGAATCTCAGTTTCCAGAGATAATTGAAGTCTGCCAATAGCAGTAGGGACTGTCTTTGAACTACATTTTCCAATCTTATCCATGAGATCTGAAGGAAGGGATGAGGTTAGAGTGCCACTGGTAATATAAAATACATGAATTTAGAAAGGAAACATGCCTATTCAGGCATCATGTCAGAAAGAATGGGATTCTTGATCGATCCAGAAGGAACATGGAAGAAAGTAGAATCTGTGACACTAAACCCCAATATTGAATATTTTACTGTGGTAGGACTAAAGCATGGATAATTTTGCAAGACAGGTCATTCAAGGTGTCACTGGAAAAGGTATGATGTGCTAAATATGATTAGCCTCTTTGTATTCGTGCATTATTTTTTATCTGAATTTATGCATATGGACTAAGCGTCTTTATTTCCAATGTCCTTACACCTGGGTACCTCCCACTTGGGAAGGTGCTAGACAGTCCATTGGGAAGGGTCTTTTAATGGTAATGAGTTGTTAGGCAAAAAGATGAACTCCCACTTAGTAAGCCTTCGTCAGAATGCTCCAGGGAGCCTGTAATTAACGGGTGGTTCTACAGGGGCCTGTTTGTGTTTTTCCAAAGCCTAGTCTTGGGAACAGACTTTGAAACAAAGGATTCCCACCCTTTTCTGAAGCTATGGAAGGCAGGAAGTGAAACCAGCAGTTCTTCACTCCCTGCACAAGAGGACTCCTGGAAAGATCTGAAGAGCAAGGACGGACCTGGGGAAAGTGCTGGCCCCAGGTGAAAGGTACCCAGGGTACGGAAGCCTGAAAAACCCAAGTGACAAAGCAAATGCAACTTGTGCCTTGAGAATCTGCCAGATGCCTCGTATCACTGGGCATGGTGAGAATCTGCTCATTTCTATGGACTCAGAGCAGCCCGTTATGCTGAGTTTGTGAGGATTTTTGTTTGCTTTCTGGTAATCTGCTCAGATTCTTTATCGTTAACAGACTTGTCTGTATCAGAGGGGTAGCCGTGTTAGGGGTAGCCTCACTAGGGTTCTACAGCTCTGGTGTCATAGGCTGATAGTTATCATTATAGTAGCTTCCCTATCATTTCATCCAGAGGCTCATCATAGAGTATGCATGTAACAACAACTGCGTGTATCAAAACCTGTGTGAATGCTTGAGAAAGTGTAGGAGCAGGAGTGAGCCTGCAGCTTGCCAGAGGTGCCTGATGTGCGAGTGATCCCAGACTGGTGGGTGGGAGGGCTCAGTGAAACCCCAGTTCCAGGTAGCAAAGAGGAGAAACCGATCAGAAATGGGTTACAGGAAAACATGCCCAAGAAAGTGCAACATATTGCTCTCAGTGTTAGAACTCACTGGGCCAGTCTGAAAGTCCATCTACCCCAATTTGTGGTGAAATAGTTTGCTTTTGGGCCCTTACTAATGCCTCATGAAAAACTGCCAACTCTCTTCAGTTGTTTTCCCCCTTAGTTCTGCTTTCCATGAGACCTTGCTAATCAGCTCTCTGAGTTTACGAAAATTGCCTCCTGAAATCCATTGTCTCTGTTTTTCTGTTCTCTCTTCTACCATTCCTTAGAGTCATGAACTCTATGAATTCATGACCACTTTCACCCAAGCTGCCTTCCACTTTCAAATTTTCAACCAGCTCCACCCCATTCGTTAAAATCAAATCTAGAACAGCTTCTCCCCCACTAGCTTTTTCAACCTTCTGAAATAAAGAATTGTCTCCAATACAGTCCAAGAACTTATTGGATGGTCTGTGCCCCGCTGTGTTAGCTTCCCAACAATGTCTGGATAGTTGAAATCCCCCATCACCACCAAATCCTGCACTTTGGATGATTTTGTTAGTTGTTTAAAAAAAGCCTCATGCGCCTCTTCTACCTGGGTAGGTGGCCTGTAATAGACCCCTAGCATGACATCACCCTTATTTTTACCTAACCCAGAGACTTTCAACACATCTGCTCCCCACATCCATCTCCACCTCAGTCCAAGTGTGTACATTTTGAATGTATAAGGCACCACCTCCTCGCTTTTGGCCCCACCTATCCTTCCTGAACAAGCTGCACCCTTCTATGCCAATATTCCAAATGCGTGTATTATCCCACCAAGCCTCTGTGATACCAACAATGTCGTCGTTGTGTTTATTTATTAGCATTTCTAGTTCTTGCTGCTTATTACATAGGCTTCTTGCATTTGTACATAGGCATCTAAGCTACGTCTTTGTCCTTGCCTCCCAGTTCTGCCTTGTCCCTCCTTTTTCTCCACTCTTATAGCCCATGATCCCTCCCATTCCCAACTCATCTCCCAGGCCTCCGTGTTCTTCACTTACCTGTGAGCTTTGGTCACCTGCACCTTAGTAACTAAATATTTTCATTAGTGGTAGCAAAGAATAAAATATCTAAATCTCAACTTACTATTTTGTGTACAATTGGTAATAAATATAATGTATTTTTTGCATTATGTGTGTGTGTGAATTTAAGGGAGGAATAGATGCCATAGGAAATTAATTTTTTTTTTGTATTAAATCTTGATTGTCCTTCTGAGGGGACCTTAGGGATAATCACTATCTATCGAACTGTAGAATGTCTTCTTGAGCCCAGTAGAGCGATGGGGGGAAGGGTTAGGAGCCTAATCCCATTTGCAAAAGGGTAGTCAGTGGTTTGGGAGCCTAATCCCACTCGCAATACAAATTTAATATCAGACCGTCAAATGGATTTAGGTGCCTAAATGTGCTGCTCAACCTAGGCCATTTAATTTCAGCCGGGTCTGCTTCTTTGGTGTCTGGGTCCAGCACTGGCAGCGGCTCTAGTCCCAGCGGCTGCCCACACACTGGCCTGGCTTGGTCTCCTCCTTCCCCCAGCTGTCCTCCTGCCTGCTGGGCTCCCTCTGCCTTTATACCTGGCCTCTGCTGGGAGCATGCCCAGCAAGGCCGGAAGGGCGGGGCCCTCTCAGCCAGCTGGGCCTGGGCTACTCCCAGCCCTGCAGTGCGGGGCCTGTTCGCCCCGTCACAGCATCTAAGCTACGTCTTTGTCCTTGCCTCCCAGTTCTGCCTTGTCCCTCCTTTTTCTCCACTCTTATAGCCCATGATCCCTCCCATTCCCAACTCATCTCCCAGGCCTCCGTGTTCTTCACTTACCTGTGAGCTTTGGTCACCTGCACCTTAGTAACTAAATATTTTCATTAGTGGTAGCAAAGAATAAAATATCTAAATCTCAACTTACTATTTTGTGTACAATTGGTAATAAATATAATGTATTTTTTGCATTATGTGTGTGTGTGAATTTAAGGGAGGAATAGATGCCATAGGAAATTAATTTTTTTTTTGTATTAAATCTTGATTGTCCTTCTGAGGGGACCTTAGGGATAATCACTATCTATCGAACTGTAGAATGTCTTCTTGAGCCCAGTAGAGCGATGGGGGGAAGGGTTAGGAGCCTAATCCCATTTGCAAAAGGGTAGTCAGTGGTTTGGGAGCCTAATCCCACTCGCAATACAAATTTAATATCAGACCGTCAAATGGATTTAGGTGCCTAAATGTGCTGCTCAACCTAGGCCATTTAATTTCAGCCTTGATGTCCAGGGAGGGACTGTGATGCAGTTTCTCTGAGAACCCCCCGTGATGCTGAGTGGCTCCGATGGGGTTTGGGATCCTGGCCGGGCCCAGAGAAGCTGACCCCACCATGGAAGGAAGAGCAAGTGAGCATTGCCCAGGAAGAGCAGCTGGTCGAATAGCCTAAACGTTTCCTAAAGGGAAAGAAACCCAGAGTGAGTTTGAGATGTGTTTTGACGTCCGGTGACTGTCTCTGTCTCATTTCTATCACCTCCAGGGTCCTTTGATGCATCCGGCCAACAGCACTGCCACAGTGACCCAGTTCCTGCTGCTGGGTTTCCCCTCCCTGGGCCGGCAGAGCCGGGAGCTCCTCTTTGCTCTGCTCTCCTTGGCGTATGCTGCCACAATGGTGGGGAACTTCTGCATCGTGTGGTTGACGTCCGGTGACTGTCTCTGTCTCATTTCTATCACCTCCAGGGTCCTTTGATGCATCCGGCCAACAGCACTGCCACAGTGACCCAGTTCCTGCTGCTGGGTTTCCCCTCCCTGGGCCGGCAGAGCCGGGAGCTCCTCTTTGCTCTGCTCTCCTTGGCGTATGCTGCCACAATGGTGGGGAACTTCTGCATCGTGTGGGCCGTGCTGCGGGACCCCCGCCTCCAGCGTCTGCCCATGTACATCCTGCTGGGGAATTTCTCCTGGCTGGAGATCTGCTACGTCACATCCACTGCACCACAAATGCTCTGCAACCTGCTGTCCCCTGGTCTCCCCATCTCCTTCCATGCCTGCTTCCTGCAGTTCTACTTCTTCTTCTCCCTGGGAGCCACCGAGTGTTTCTTCCTCGCAGCCATGGCTCTGGACCGGTACCTGGCCATCTGCCAGCCTCTGCGCTACCCCGTCCTCATGTCCCACCAGCTCTGCTGGACCTTGGTCGCCTCCTGCTGGTTCTTTGGCTTCATGTGGTTCATAGCGCCCATCAGCCTCATGTCCCGGCTCTCCTTCTGCAGCCCCTACACCCTGGACCATTTTGTCTGTGACCCGGCCCCATTGCTGGCTGCCTCCTGCTCCCCAGCTCACTGGGCTGGTCAGATCTGCTCCACTGCAAGCTCCCTTAAGATCTTGAGCACTGTCTCCTTCATCCTGGCCTCCTACGGGCTCATCATCACAGCAGTACTAAGGCTGCCTGCAGGGGCTGGGCGGCACAAGGCCTTTTCCACCTGCACCTCCCACCTGGCCATCGTGAGCCTGTTCTTTGGCTCCGTCATGGTCAATTACTCCTTCCCGACAACCTCTGGGACCATCGGGAAGGTTGTGATGCTGTTCTATGCAGTGGGGACCCCGCTGCTCAACCCGCTGATCTACAGCCTGAGGAACAAAGAGATGAAAGGGGCTCTGAGGAGGACCCTGCTGGGGGGGCCATAGTAGGCTCTGAAGGGACCCCCATAGGTTGGGACTGATGGGGAAGAAGGGGCCATGGGTTTGGGCCCTACTGCTCCAGGTGGTTCTGGCTGCAGTGGGAGCACACACGGCATTTTGCGTGATCTGTGATATGATCATTTACTGATGCTTCGGCCACGGTGGAGTTGAGGGGCCAAAGTTGCATGGGCTCATGAGCCCCTGCTGGAGGCCATGAGCACTGCTCCATGTCCGTGTTTGCAGAGGATAGGATAATAAAACCCAATGTGTGCACACAAAGGCTGAGTCCGATCTCCACCCGTATTGTGCAGCTGAGTTTCATTATTGTTCCCTAGAGATCTGATCCAGGGGGCAACTTCCCATTCTCCTTTTCTCTGTCGTCAATTAGGAGCAACCTAACGATGTCTTGGGAGTGAGAGCTGGGACCCAAATCGCGGCAATATCATGTTTGTATGGAATGGGCCACACTCTCCTCCTACAGCCTGAATAGAACCAATTGCCCTGCATCCAGCTCACAAGACCTTATCCCTCTTCCGTAGCAATGCTAGAAATGAGAAGGTCTCTAACTCTCTGGAACCACCCCCCCAAATGCTGTTATTGGGGAAAACAATTAGGTTTAGGGGAGAAATATGATCTATTTTTGTTCTGTAGAAGAGGTTGCTTGGATTGTTGAGTTTTTCCTCTGCAAAATCAGAAGCGATCAGTGCTGGAGATGGGACATGTGATGAGGTGGGCCAGGGCTCTGAGGTGACACCCCGCACTCTGGCTCAGATCTTTGGCTGGCTGGTTCCTACTTACACTCTCAAGTCACGTCTACATTACGCAGAATATCAATGTCGCTGCGCTCCATCTTCCGGGATTAGATTTAGTGGGTCTAGTGAAATCCTGCTCCTCAGGAGTAGTAAGGGAAGCCATCAACTTCTTGCTGTGTGGATGGCAATTTAAGATATGTCAACTCCAGCTATGTGATTGCGTATCTTAAGTCGACTTTCCGCTCTAGTGTAGACCAAGCCTCAGGCCCAGCTGGTCGCCATGCATGGGGCAAGGAACTAATTCCACCCACCATGCTGGTCTGATTGGCCATGACTTGGGAGAGGTTGCCACCCCACTCCCTGCATTATAAATATCTCACTTGTCAGGATTATCTGGATCAATTTCATATAATTATTTCCCTGCCCCTATGGGGGTCGTGGTCCCACTTTGGTCTTCTTTCAGTGAATGGGTCAGGTTGGTGGCCTGTGTCTTACAGGTCAGGCCAGATGATCTGACTTGGTCCCCTTTGGCCTTAAGCTTTGACCCAGGAGTCCAGACTCTCACACCGTGTGCTAACTCCCTGGATCCCACTTTCTTACTCCTTCCTAGGGCAATGGGCACCACCCAGAAATTCTGCCTTCTCATCCTCCCTGGCCCCTCCTTTGACCCACTAGACTTCACTTCCCTCCAAGAGCTAGAAGTAGATCCCAGTTGTGCTGACAACTTATGTCTCCCTTCTCTAACCCACTGGGTCCGACCACCTCTCAAAAGCTGGAAGAAGAAAACTATCTAGCAGAGCACCGGGCAAGTGTTTCCCCTTTGGGGTCCTTGTCTAGGGCTTGTGAACTCTGTAGTAGATTGTATCCACAGAATCAGCCTTGTTCAGACTGTTGGGATGTGTCTAGACTACAGGGTTTTGTCGACAAAACTAGTCTTGTGTCTACATTGCCGCCATGTTCTGTCGACATAACGTTGACAGAACTCAGCAGTTTTGTCAATGGCTGTAAACCTCATTCTACGAGGAATAACGCCTTTTGTCGACAGTTTTGTGGACAGAAGGTCTTATTGCATCTACACTGTCCTTTGTGTCTACACTCTCATGTTGACAAAGTGGCTTGCTTTGTCGACAGAACTGGTTGTCGTCTAAACGCTCTTTGTTGACAGAAGCTTTGTCAACAGTATTTGTTGACAAAACTTCTGTTGACAAAAGCCTGTAGTCTAGATGTATCCTTGTTGACACTCTCAAAGAATTTGTATAGATTTCTGGGGCAAGATTTCCCTTTACAAAAGCTGTGCCGACTTTTCCCCAATAAATCATGTATGCCCATGTCTGGTTATCCTCTTCTGTGCTATACTTCCACCCAGTCTGTCTGGCGCTGACATTAGAGCTACCAGTGTGACCACCCCAGTGGCCTTTGAAGAACACAGTCATCTGCTCGCAGCTCTGCTATTGTACATCAGAGCTCCTTCGGGACTCTCGGGTGATATTTCCAGTCCTGAGTGGGGAGTCTAGTGGGTTGAGAGTCAGGATTTCCAGGTACACGCTCTGGGTCTGCAAAGGGTGAAGGTTAGTTGACTAGTGGAGGAGGCAGGTGGCATCCAGGGTTTCTGGGTTCGAACTGGCTCTGGAAGGAGGGTTGCAGGGGAAGCTGGGAGCAGGACTCCTGAGTTCTAATTTCTGTTCTGGAGCCAAAGAAAACAGGCGCTGAGAACTCCCCAGTTTTATCTCCCACTCTAAAGAGCTGGGGGGTGTAGGGGTTCTGACTTTGGGATGGCAGTCCATTGGGAAACATCCCCTCCTCCTCCCCCGTTTACCCCTCCCAGTATGCACATATCCCTCTCCAAAGCCAATGCCCTTCCAACAGCCCCCAGATACCACTCCCAGTGCACACTGACCCCCCCACCCCACCCCCAAACACCTCTCCAGCATCTCCAGGTATCCCACCCGGCACAGACACCCCATCCCCCACTCCAAGGACCCCTTCTAGCATTGTCTATATAAACCCACTCCATCACCTCCCAAATCCCCCTCCCCCACTCTTGCAACCCTCAGATACACCTCACAGTACACACACCCCTCCCCATCCCCAAGTAGTCCCTCCAGCCCCAATACACACACTCACATCTCCTCGCTCCCCTAAATACCAGGATACTGCTCCGAGTACACACCCCTCCCTGACTCTAAAATATCCCCTCCATCCTCCCCAGATACATTTAATAGAAAACACCCCCTCTGCACATCCCCAAATATCCCCTCTACAATCCTCCAAAAATCCCTCCCAGTATACACACATCTCTCACCACACTCACAAATACCTGCTCTAGTACCTGCCAGAGTCCCTCTCCAAGTGCATATGCAGAGACTGTGTCTGAGAAGAGGCTGAGAGATCTTCCCCTAGAGCCAGGACCCAGCTGTGGGGACATTTGGGGGGCAGTTCCAACCTTGGAAGACTGTGCAGCTGGTTGCCTTGGCTGGACTGATACCCAGAACCTGCCCAGTGCGGTGTCAGTCCCCCCCTCAGATCTTGAATCCAGTGTCTGGAACACTGCAATCCAGAGGGGTGCACAGGCCAGGGTGGGGGACAGGGTGGCCAGGTGAATACCATGAGAATCTATAGTAATAGAGATGTAGCCATGTTAGTCTGGTCTTGCTGAAACAAAAGGCAGGACTATGCAGCACTTTAAAGACTAACAAGATGGTTTATTAGATGATGAGCTTTCGTGGGCCAGACCCACTTCCTCAGATCAAATAGTGGAAGAAAATTGGCACAACCATAGATACCAAAGGGATACAATCAAAAAAGTGAATACATATAAAATAGACAAATCAGATTTTAGAACAGAGGGGGGATGAGCAGGGGAGGTTAGTGCCTATGAGATAATATTAGATATAGCTTCCCCAATTATCACCTCTAATACCATTATCTTATAGACACTAACCTCACCTCCCTCATCTGTTCTAAAGTGCTGCATAGTCATGAGAATCTATGGCAGAGTTCAAAAGCCATTGGCTGTCACCTGCATTTGTTATTGGCTGTTATTTTATTTTTATTTGTTATTGATTTTATTTAATTTCCCACTCTGCTTTTAAATGAGTAGTGACAATTAATCACAATCTCTTACACTGTTTCCTTCAGTTGTTGAGTGAAGATGTGTTCACCCAACATCAGTGCATATGTTATTGGTCCCTGGCATTTCTGAGTGCGACCCATGCCATGGGTCATTATTAGAATGGGTTATTCCTTGAGGGGCCCCACATTCCAGAGTGAGTACAGGGGCCACCACGTGGAGCTACTATCATTTTTACATTGTATGAGGAGTAAAGGGGCAGCAGACGGATGAGTAGAGGATTCCCAGCTAATCAAAGTCACCACTGGGATTCTCGGGATTTTATTTCTGGGCAACATCACACAGTGTGTGTGGCCTGCTCCTGAGTAGCACAGGGAGGAAAGGGGGTTAATGGTGGCTTAGGACCCCTTTGGGGTGCAACTAAGATACCATTGAGTCAGCGTATCTGCCAGCCTGGGCCTCCTTTACCTGGCCTTGCCTGGCCAAGCTACCAAGCTCCCAGGCAGGGTCACACCCAGCGGTAGAAGGCTACAGACACTCAGATCTGTTCTGGTTAGGCTCGGGTCAAGGAACCCCAGCTGCCCACATCCCTTGGAGTATGACCAACAGTATGTGAAATTTGCCTCCTCCCTCAATGTGGAGGAAGGTTGGCACAAAGTCCTCCTCCCCCAGTTAGAAATTATATAAACCGGGTTATAGTATAAACCAGAAACAAGTTATTAAATACCAAAAAGAGCGAAGCAGGCAACTAAGAAAAAATACACAGACATTGGTAACAAATAATAGTTTCTCCCTCTAGCTATTGTTTCAGATAGAGTCCTTCAGAATCCAGAGGTGTCTTTCTAGCCTGGGTCCAGCAGTTCTCCCTCCTCTGCTCTGAGTCCTTTTGTTTCCCCTTTGGGTGGGGAACCGGAGGAGACACAAACTGAAGGCCTTGAGTGATTGTTTCCTTCCTCTGCCTTTGATGGGATGTCCATCAGGCAGGAACCCTTTGTTTGATTCCCACCCGCCAGGAGAAGTCCATCAGTCCAAGATGAGGGCCAGAAGCAAAATGCAGGACAATGTAGCACTTTAAAGACTAACAAGATGGTTTATTAGATGATGAGCTTTCGTGGGCCAGACCCACTTCCTCAGATCAAAGATGAGGGCCAGTTTGAGAGGACCAGATCACCTGACTGCTGCATCACAGTGTAACTCCGACAGGAGGAACTGAACAGGGAACTCTGGAGCTTAGTGCATGAGCCGTTACAGCTTGAGCTAAAATCCTGCTGGCTCTCAGCTAAGGCTGTAGAACAGACTCATTATTATCCTCTCTATAAGTTGTCTTGCTGCCGCTAGAGAGTACCACACACCCAGCAGGTTTTTGGGTTACACCCGCATTCAGGAGTCATTAGTAAAATGGGGGGTTCATAGGAAGGCCCAGTCTTTTCACAGTCCATTGTTCTCACTGATGGTCCATCAGCCCTCTCTGGCTTTTCCATTGTTGTACCTGAAGTGTTAACAGTGGGTGTCACCCAAAGTAACTTTGTTGGAGTACAGATACTTGGTTGGAGTACAGATACTCTGAGCAGATCTATATTTACTGGACTCTCGATGCTCCAGAGTTCAATCTTCTGGCATTTGATTTAGTGGGTCTAGTGGATACCCGCTAAATCAAATGCTGAGGGCAGCCCCTGTCGGCATCTGGTGCTCCTCCTTTTGTGAGGAAGAAGGGAAGCCAAAAGGAGTGTTTGCTCCCATCATCCTCCTGCTGTGAGGACTCCACCAAGGGTTGGCTAAAGTAAGCCAACTTCAGCTACACATTTTGTGTAGCTAGAGTTGCATACCTTCCTGGCCTAGTGTAGACCGGACCTCTGTGCCTTAGTTCCCTGCCCATACGATAACTGCATTTCCCAAGCCTACAGGTGAGGTGAGCACATAGATAGGTTATAGATTATGAGGTCATGTCCCCACTAGGAAACTATTTTGAAATAACTAAAATCAATGTAACAACTCCAGAGATAGCCTGTCCCCACTACGGGGGAGCCTCCAAATTAGTCTGAGGCAGCCTCCATTAATGGGGATACGCTACCTCAAATTAGAGCCAGAAGAAGTACTGGGGAGTAATTACTTTGAATTACTCTTGTTATTTCAAAATAGCAGCACCGGAGTGTCCAAACATCTTGAAATAACTATTTTGAAATCACCATTATTCTGCGAGGAAAGCAGGAGGACAGATTTCAAAATAACCATCCCGTTATACGAAATAATGGGCTTGGTTGTGTGGACTCTCCCCATATAAATTCGACCTAAGGAGGATTATTTCAAAATAACTCCTTACTATAGACCAGGGCTGAGAGACAGAGACAGCAGTACTTAGGATTGTATATGTACGATGGAGAGAGAGATGGACATGTGACCCATGGCGTTGTGCTGAACCCCGTCCTGTTGTAAGCAAAGACACACCCAACCCGTGCACTCCATTGTTATATCATGTAATGAACCGTAGATCACTATAGCAACAACAAAGACCAGGTTCAGTTGCAATCCTCTATGTCCTCATAATCCCTCCCAACATTGGGACCTCCAGCCTTCATTTCTCCTCTGCATTTGTGTGATGAGAGACCAAAACCTGGATCGAAAACCTTTACCCCCCCTTGGCTGAGTTGCAGGATGGGTCACAGGCACTGAGCAGTAGACTTGTAAATTTCATTCAGCCACTAGAGGGGATAAAGAGCATTATCATATTGGAGTGTTCACAATGTTCCTCTCTAACCATTGTTGTGTGCGTGGAGCGAGCTGGCTGGGGAATCAGAAGAATACGCATTCGTTGAGCTGGTGATCATGAACCGTGTTCGTGTCAGTCACTGCACAGCCTGCCACCAGCCTTCACCCCCCTACATCATATGTTTGATGCTCAAACAAACATCTGCTTAAACCATCCAATCACAACATCCCTGTATGGCCTAGTTGCAAACCGAAAATGTCCTGCAGGATGGAAATGTGCCTTTTTTCTGGAGCCCAGCTTCATGCAGTGGAATCACCATTGGAGACAGTCCTCAGATGGAGAAATGAAATGATAATGCTTCCGAGATGTAGACAGGTGTTCTTTCCCCTATTTCACAGCTGGGAAAATTTAGAGATGAAGAATGAAAACTATAATGCTATGAAACAATAGGTTATATTTCAAAGCTTGTATATCACAAGTCTGGTAACTTTGGCTATGTCTAGACTACACCTCTCTGTCAACAGAGAGATGAAGATTAGGCATGTCGAAATTGCTAATGAAGCAGGGATTTTAATATCCTGCGCTTCATTAGCATAAACATGGCCACCGCTTTTTTTTCCACGTGGAGTTTTGTTGACACAAAACGGCAGTCTAGAAGTGGATCTGTTGACCATAAACCCTTTATTGACAGATGCTGTATACCTCAAAAAATGCCAAAAAAAGCGGCGGACATGTTTATGCTAATGAAGCACGGGATATTTAAATCCCCTATTGATTAGCAATTTTGACGTGCCTAATCTTCATCTCTCTGTTGACAGAGAGGTGTTGTCTAGACATATTCTTTCTTTCTTTCTTTCTTTCTTTCTTTCTTTCTTTCTTTCTTTCTTTCTTTCTTTCTTTCTTTCTTTCTTTCTTTCTTTCTTTCATCTGAAACAGAGTTTCAATTAGTTCCAAAAGTTTCAGCCATTTAGGAAATCAGCATTTGACCAGTTAGAAAGTCCCGCTTGAAACCTACATGAGTTTCTTCTGAGTCCTTTTTCCATAGTGAAGCCAACACTGAAACTCCTGACTTGCCACCGAACCTGCCAAGGTTTGTCCCACCCTGACCTATTTCCCAAGGTGTGGAAGCATTTTCTTGATGGCCATCTTGACATCTTTATTCCGAAGGGTGTAGACGATAGGGTTGACAGTCGGCGTTACCAGACTGTACAGGGTGGCAATGATCTTGTCCTTGTTGAAGGAGTAACTGGAGGCTGGGCGAATGTAGGTGTAGATGACAGCGGAGTAATAAAGAGATACCACAATGAGGTGGGAGGAGCAGGTGGAGAAGGCTTTTCTCCTCCCTTCAGTTGTTTTGATCCTTAAGATGGCCCTGACAATGAAGCAGTAAGACTCCCATAGCTAGGAAGATGTCTGCTGTGAAGAACATGACCTCATTTATCCGCACCGAGGTGCAGGAGAGAACCAGCAGAGATGGGATCTCACAGAAGAAATGGTTAATAATGTTGGGCCCACAGAAGGTCAGACGCAGGACGAGGCCCGTGTGGACTGAAGTGTTGATCACAGCAATGACCATCACGAGAGCAGACAGGCCCATGCACATGGTCTTGTTCATCATGATGCTGTAGCGCAAAGGATGGCAAACAGCCACATAGCGGTCGTAAGCCATGACGGTGAAGAGCACCATCTCCGCCCCCAAAGACCAAGTGAAGAAGTAGAGCTGGGCTATGCACCTTGGGAAAGAGATAGATTTCCTGACCGGGTGCAGGAGAGAACCAGCAGAGATGGGATCTCACAGAAGAAATGGTTAATAATGTTGGGCCCGCAGAAGGTCAGCTGCAGGACGAGGCCCGTGTGCACCAAAGCGTTGACCACAGCAATGACCATCACGAGGGCAGACAGGCCCATGCACGTGGTCTTGTTCATCATGATGCTGTAGCGCAAAGGATGGCAAACAGCCACATAGCGGTCGTAAGCCATGACAGTGAAGAGCACCATCTCTACCCCCAAACACCAAGTGAAGAAGTAGAGCTGGGCCATACACCCTGGGTAAGAGATAGATTTCCTGACCACCACTAGGTTCCCCAGCATTTGGGGGATGATGGTGGAGGTGCAGATGATGTCCACTACGGCCAAATGGAAGAGGAAAAAGTACATGGGTCTCTGCAGCTTAGAACTGGAAAGGACGGCAGCCATGATGAGTAAATTGCCAAGTAGAGCAATGATGTAGATGGAGAGGAAAAGGACGAAGAGTAAGACCTGCAGTTGGGTGTCACTGGAGAGTCCTACCATGATGAATGTGGTCACAACGCTTTGGTTCTCCATTTCTGGAGCTCTGGAGACTGTTGAGGATGAAGGTCTGGTTGCTGCAACTTCTCTAGTCTGTGGTTTTGGCATTTGTTTTAATCCTGAATTAAAATGGAAAAATGAAATTTTAATTTTCTCTATTTATTGTGTGAAGTTTGGACATTTTTCAATTTTAACCTCTGTGTGTGGGTGTCTAACTAAAACAAATTTTATTTAAACATATTTTGACAGCTCAAATTTTACTCAGACTGAACCTTTTTTTTTCTTCAAAGGACATTAAGATGATACAATATGCTTCTTATTTACCATGTCAGCTGAAAGTGAGAAGAGGCATTCAATGGTACTTTTGTAGCTGGCATTGCCAGGTATTTATATACCAGATATGCTAAGCATTATCACCCGCAAATGTAAACAAACTCATCTGAGCAATTGGCCGAACAAGAAATAGGACTGAGTGGACTTGTAGGCTATAAAGATTTACAGGCAGTCCCCAACTTACGCGGATCCGACTTATGTCGGATCCGCACTTACGAACGGGGCTTTCTCGCCCCGGAGGTCGAGATGGCGGATTGCTACCTGCGAGCTCCGGGGCGAGAAAGCCCCATTCGTAAGCTGCTCCGGTGCCCCTGGTCTGCTGGAGACCGTCTCCAGCAGACCAGGGGCACCGGGCGGGTTCCTGCGCTTCTGAGGCTTTGCCAGAGCAAAGCCTCAGAAGCGCGGGAACCGCCGCTGCTGCCGCTTGAGACCGGGTGCCTGTGGTCTGCAAAGCCTCAGAAGCGCGGGAACCCGCCCCCGGCCCCCCAC